TTTGAAAAATGGATGAAAGAGCGTTAAAATTTATAAGTAGTGTGCTATGTTTGCAATGGCACCTAATTAAACTATATTAATTTGTGGGTAATCACTGATCAAGAGACAAATCATAATCATCTCGTCATTTGAAATCTTTTATCAAATTAATACACATAAAACAACCTAAGAATAAATATAGGAAAATTTACATACATGGCACCCAATTGTCACGTATTTTCCCATCTCACATCTCACACCTAAACGATCATATTTATGTACATAACACTTTGATGCTTTAAAACTATGCATGATTTGAAATATATATCAGTGTTACTTTTGATGAAATATTAGAATTTTTAGTGCTATGTGTATAAATATGTAAATTTACTTATGAGAAATGTAAATGCATAAAAATTGTGTGATAGGTATGGAAATGGGCCAATCATACACCCTAATTGGCTAAAGGCTTTCACTTCTTCTCTTCTTTCTCTGCTTCTGCGGCCTTCTTCAGCCTGGCGCCAACCTGCCTAGCATTCATTCTCTCCACCCGAAGCTTCTCGTGAGCCCTAAATGCCTTCATCTCCTCAGTAACCTTCAACAACTCGACTGAAGGCCTCCTGTGGACAATAGGCAAGGCGCTAGCCTTCACCTGGGTCGCTGTATCAAGTTCCTCCGGTGCAGAATCCACGGCCTTAAACTTGCGAGCACGCAGAGGGAAGACGACCAACTTTGCCTTGTATGTCTTCAGCCTCTGAGCATTGGCTTGGAGACCTTCCAACGAGCGATTCTTACGACGACGATCCACTGCAATGCCAATTGTGGAAGCAAGCTTTTTTGGATTTCTTGCAGTCTAAAAAATATACCAAAAATGTTGTACTCATTGTCAACATCTACCATCGGATATCTCCAAAATTTGCAACATTTACAAATTTTTAAACCAAATAGAAAATATAATTGGCATGAGACTAAACAAAATACAAATGGAAGCCCAAATTGGATAAAATATATATAAGAGTTATTATAGGTAGTAAATGTGAGCAACTTTGATTAAATTTTGAAAATCAGCTTGAGCTTCTCAAGGGTTGATACGCCACCAACAAATATTCAACATCTGACACGAATCTCGAGACATATTTTAAGTAAGAAATATTCAAATATTGATAAAAAAGTCATTCAGAGCTTAACTCTTTGTTGCAACTCTGCACCGCAACTCTGCGTCGTAACTCGACACCACAAATATTTGTCGCAACTTTTCAATGCAACTCTGCACTACAACTCGACACCTCAACTCTGCACCGTAGTTCGGTACCACAACTCTGCACCGCAACTCTTCACTGCTACGCAAAATGATTTTTTTTTGAGAAATCCTGAATCAACTGAGGACTCCACCCCCTACTTTCTTTCATAACATTGGACATCCAACGCTTCACGCCACTGCGATACTTCGCCAGAACGCCGCCGCCACAATCTGCCACAACACCTCGCTGCGCTGCAATGTGTCGCCATGACACACCATCACAATGTGTTGCCCCGCCGCAACGCGTCATCGTGACGCACCGCCACAATGCGTTACGACATCACAACGTACTACTGCAATGCATCTCCGCGCCGCGGCGACGCACTGTCGCAACGCGTTGTCAAGTCGTAACGTATCGCCGTGACACACTACCGCAAAATGTTGCCCGCCCGTGTCACATCGCCGCGTCGCGTTGCTGCAACGGCCCGTCGCAACGCGTTGCCTCGCTGTGTCGCACTGTCGTATCGTGTCGTCGCAACGTGTGGCCGCGACGCGCCCCCACACCTCTACCCTCTCTTTCTCTTTCAGGCCCCTATTTATAGACTCAAAAAGAACATCAGCCAATAAATACACATTAATATGAAAATCTAAAAAAAAGTGCAAGCATTAAATGCTCATAAATAATAATAAATAAAAACTTTTCATATTAAAAAAAAAAAAGATGGTCAAATCCTATTAATTTTCTTTTCTAATTCGAATTTCTCTTCAAATTTCTTTATAAAAATATTATTTATTTTTTTTTAGGCGAGGTTCAAAACCTCCCTCTCCCACATGAAACAAAATATATCATCCAAGTAAGTTGGGTTTAACTTTCTATTTATATAAGGATAAACATTATTCTTACATTACCTAAGTAACACACACACACACACACACATACATAAATACTTCGGATATTGATATTTTCGAACGATAAAAATAGTCTCGCCCAAAAATAGGGGGGCAACTGATACGCCACCAACAAATTTTCATCATCTCACACGAATCTCGAGATGATATTTTAAGCAGGAAACATTTAAATCTTGATAAAAAGTCATCAAGAGCTTCGATTTCAGCAAACTTATAGTCAAACTGACCGGTTTGATGAGATGAACCTAATGATATGAAAACTAGCGCAATCCGAGTCAAATGAAGTCCAAATCAAGTCATTGAAACAAACTTAGATAATTTCCGGACACATATGGAAGATCAAAGGGTTGTCAAATATGACAAGTTTATACTTAATTCGAGCAGCTCGACAAGACGAATCCAACGAGCCTAAGATCACTCAATTCTGACGTCATTAAGACACTCAAATATCCATTAAACACTGTATGATTGAGGGAAGCTCTCCGGACCGTCCGAACAAAATGGTTAATATTTCTACACTAATTGCACCCAGAACACTATAAATAGAGTTCCATCCATCTCATGAGTAGGGAGGAAGTCTAGAGAGAGCCTGAGGTCTTGAGGAGAAGCTG